AAGGAAAATGAGCAACGTGACAAGAAAATCCCTGTTGTTGAAGCCACTCGTCGGAGAAACCAACACGACTGACCGCGTCAGCCCAGTTCGTCTTGGACGGAATGTACTCGAAGAAGAAAGAAGTGCGCAAGGCGAACATTGCAATATGGATCAGCTGAGCCAAGCGCTCCAGATCTGGAGAACTGGAGCGGCCACGGATTAACGACATCAAGGCTGCAATGTTATCGATAAACCAAAAGCCCCTCCGGCCCCGAGAAGCGGGGGCTCGAGCTGCCTAAGCATACAGGACCATGGCCAGCTCCAGCTGGGCGATCTTGTGATCCCCTGCCGAAAAGCAGGCATAGATCGCGGGGTCAATGACAGACGCAAAGCTCTCCCGAATCTCCACTGGGTCCAACCAGACCAAGTGAAAGCCGCCCGAACCGAACCCGGGCACATCTTCCGCCGCGTCACTCGCAGCGAGAAAGCGGGGGCACGCCCGCGGAAGGATCTCGAACTCCCGTTCGGGCCGCACCGACAACACAGCACGGATGAGGGAGAAGCAGGCCAGGATAGGCGGGGTCAACTCCCGACCGCCCTCATCGCTGGTGCTGGCCTCTGACATACTTAAGAACTACCTTCTCGGTCTGGACCTGTTCCCTTATAAACGCTGCTCGTACTCGGAGATGCCTTGTACGCCACGAAGTAGATCCTGTAGGTCTCGCTATGGCAATCGTTGACTGATTGTCGATCGCCAACGTAATTACCAGCTCCTTCCTCATGAGCTCCTCAAGGACTGCACCCAAGGACAGCGCCATCTTAAGGCCCTCGATGGCGGCTGTAAGCTCACTTTCCGCTGTCGATAGGCACACGTAGGGAGTCCTCGTAGCCCGCCATGATAGGGGAGCTCCTCTCCAGGTAATCAGGACACCCGAGTGTGACCTTCTTCCCTCCGGTGCGTAGGAGCTGTCCGTCCAAGTAACGTACTCGTCGTTCTGTGGGACGATGGCAAGGGCATAGTCCTGGGTGTGCTGCAAGTAGGACAGCAGCTTGGTACCAACCACAACACATCGTGGGGCAGCCCGACTTATCAACGCTCCCATCGCATTCACCGTGAAGCTAATATCAGGTCGAGTACGCTGAGCCAACCATAGTAGTTCACCGCATAGACGCTGAGCCATCTTTACTTCGCTCTCGTCACCCTTGGGTTCATCTTCTTCAGCCTCAAACGTCACCAAGTGCTTAGGGGCCTGAATCGGAGAAGTGGCGGTCTCCGGTACATCATGGGCCCGAAGGATTTCCTTGATGTAGGGCTGCTGGTGGAGGTAGTAGCGGTCGCGCTCGTCATTGGTGAGAATCTCACATCCCAGAAACCTAATTCCATGGGATGATGACAGCATCTCCAGATCCGTAGTCTTCCATGTTTCACTCAGCTTGCGGGCAACAGCTCGGATCAAACCCAACCTTCCACATAGAAGGATGTCGTCCACGTAGATGAGCACCAATGCTCCAGGTGAACCTTCCGGGGCGCCAACTTCAACAAGAGCCCACATATTTGGCTCTGCATCACCCTGTTGTAGCAGCCATTGAGCTCCTTCAGCATCAAACCTCATGGCAGAAATCGTCCGGTCCCTGAACTCAGACCACAGCTTAGGGCTTTGACGAAGTCCATACATGCCGTGGGTGAGTATCCACCTTTCGTCCTCTGAGGCCAGTCCCAGTTTGACTAGTACAGACGGAGGGTGGATGACGTAGGTTGTCTCATTCGGGCCCTGTGGCAGAGGTGTCAACATAAACGCCCCAGCAATATCCAACAAAGCAGTAAGCCATCTTTGCCATGCTGAATACGTCAAACAGCTCCTCAAGCTCTCGGCCGCAGCGCCCGATGCGAAGATGTCGGCCTGGTCGGGAGATGCATAGTTTCCACAACAAACGATACGGGATTTCCTCTTGCAATACTGTGATTCTCCCTCGTTGGCAGGGTCGTTGGCTGGTGGCTTGAGCGTGTAGACGAGCTTGGCCGGCAACTCCTGGACCTTGTGGGTGGCCTTCAGGTCATTAACCTCCCTCACAGTAGTCCTTCTAAATCCTTTCTCAACAACACCAAGCTCCTTCTGAATGGAAGGCCTCCATTTTTCAAGGACTTGCCGCACTTCTTGCGGACTAACATTGTGGGTGTGGCGCAAAGGGGTGCCACTGCCGATGAGCTCCTCAATGATGCCCTCAATGTTGGGGGTGTACTCTGGCTCCATCTTAGCAACCCTTGGACTCATACATCCATCCTCACCGCACCATTCTTCAACACACTGCGCAACGTCATCCTGATACACCGCATTGGTCTCAAAGCCCAACACGCATTGCGAAGTTCTCCAAAGTAGGTCCGCTTCGCTCACCGGTCCTCCTGAATCACAAAGCTTCCGAAGTCCACGGACAGTGTTCTCGTCTGGGTTCTCCTCCTCAACGTAAATCCCCCATTCTCCACAAACTTCATCATCACCATGGACGGTGGCATCCTTCACATCGTAGAGGGGTGAGCGAACTCCATCCAGCTCGTCCCAATCTTGCGGAAAGAAGGTAGCCTTAAGCATCGGTCTGGTTTCCAATGCCCCATCATCAATTGGATCAGGAGGGTCTGGGAGAGGAAATCCACTGCTCTCCAAATAGGCTTTGTCGGCCTCAGACAGCCGATGCACGCCATGAGGGGTGTATGCAGACAGGAACCATTTTTCACCACTGTCCTTCAAGTAGGCGTGTCTCAACCGTGGGTTGAATGATGCCGGGGATCGCCTGATATCCACCAGACAGCCTTCATGGATCACACCATCGTCAGACATCCACTGATGATCTGCTGGCCGTTCCCCTCCTTGAACTCCACGTTCATGCTCATCATCCTGCACCCACAGCCCTGAGTACTCCTCACACTTGATTTCCATGACATAATTCCGGGACCCCTTTTGGTTATGAACATCACGATGCAAAGGTACTTCTGCTGCATGCTGAAGTGCAAGGGTGGTCCACGTGTAGTCACCCTCGCCCTGTGTTTCCTTCAGCCTCTTTCTCAGGAACTTGTTGAAGTACAAGGCCGTCCATCGCAACTCCTTGCCGTAGTTCGTGACTCCAAAAGTGCCACCGTGCACATAGGCTCCCAGCAACAGTCCTCTACCGTTCTTGGTGCGGGGCACCCTAAGGTTTCCACAGCCGTATCCAATCTTGTCCAAGAGCGCTGCGCAGCCCCCTGCATTCGGGATGCCCGGCTCGAGCATTTTCGCCGCCAACACCTCAATCTCGTAGATTTCCGTAGGACGTAGTACGCGGATCTGTGGGTCATCTGAATCTTCGCTTGTAGTAGAGGACGTCTCCAAATCTAACTCCATTGGTAACACATAGTCCGGGAAGTAAGGTTGAAGTTGTCTAGCCGCTGGGCCTTTCTTGCGCGCCCTCACCTTGGGAGCTGGTAGTGGTTCAGGATCACCTACTTCACTCGGCGGGCATAGCGGTGGTGGTAGAGGAGGATCCACACTTCCTTCAGGTTCAACTATAATTGTAGGTGCAACATGGTCAAGTGGAGGTGGGTCTGCCGCTACCCTCACATGAGTTGTAGTCAAGAAGGTTCCGGAGGGCTTCAAGATCACATGTCCTCCCCTGACATCGGTAGAGGGGCCCAAATATTTGCCCTGTAGCCAGTGGGGAGTAAAGCTCTCCACGTCGCCTGTCTTGTACTTCTTGATCTTCACGTACACCTTTGCGCCGTAAGCCACGGGAGCGGGGTCTCGAATCCCCAACTTGCAGCATCGCTGCTGAACTGCCGCTGTTTGTATCGCCGTAGGCCACTGTACTCGTGGAAGCTGGCCTGCATCTAACAGCGTCCGGGCACGACGCTTCAAGTACCTTACTCCTGCCTCCGCGACTCCATTCTCGGCCGGCTCAGATCCCGTAGACGTAGTCCTTAGAATTCCCTGGCCAGCAAGCCATCTTTTCACCAAGTTTCCGCGGAATTCTCCTCCTCGATCTGAGTGAACTCTCACCACAGGGTACCCGAGGGACTTGATCTCAGTAACCATCTGCTGCAAGGCAGGTAGTGTATACACAGCTTTCTTGCCGTTCACCGGGGCACAGAAGTAAATTGTCTCCGTTTTTAGAGGCTCCTTGAAAGTCGCCTTCAGCTTCTCCCATTCCTCCTTCTCCTTCTGCTGCTCTTCCACACTGTAGTCGGGGATCTCCTCCTCGAGCTCGTCATGAAGTTCCGCCTCATCATCGGACAATTCCTCCTCCTCATCGTCCGGATCGCCGCCGGGTGGAAGAGGATGCCCTCGTAGTTCATCATCTCGTCCGATCCCTCCCTCAAGCACCGGAAGTCTAAACGCTCCCACCAGGAAGAACCGGAAATGCTTGCCATCCGGTGATAGGCCATGGCCCTTGATGGGGCCCGCTATATCAAGGGATAGCGTGTAGGCCGAGGGGTGCAATGTAGCTCGGTGCTGTTTGCCCGTCGCAGCATTCCTTACACACGCCGAGCAGTCCCGTCTTTACGGGGTGTGGTTCCTCATCACATGCAGCCTCCAGGCTGCATCTGAGTCCAACTTCGCCAAGCGAGCCACGCGCTCGCCGGTGAACCGCTGAATCGCCACATCCTCAAGGCCCATCTCGTTCATGTATCCAACAGAATCCTTGTTGTAGCTCCACGGAGTAGCGACAGTGAAAGGTGTAATCCGCTCCGGGGCCACCAAAGCCCCAGCATCCTCAACGTACAAGCGGACAGCATCTCCTCCTCGAGAGGCCCTTCCTGCCGATGATAAAGCATGCAACCAATGCACGCGGGTCCGATGAGGACCGGCTGAAAGCTGATCCAACGGCTTTGGAGTGGCATCCCGAGCCACCACAGTACTTATCCGGCCTTGAACAGCCGCCCACCAAACGACCCTCCAAACATCCTCAAAGTCGTTCTCAGCCAGGAGAGTGTTCACATTGACATACACAGCCTCCCCGGAGTAGGCGAGGTGACGGAGATCATCCCGTCGGCGTTCAACCGCTGGAGGGTCCCATCGTACCATCCAAGAAGACGCCCTCAACAATCTTTTCCTCGCCCTGCGGTTCAAAGTAAGAGCCTTCATGAGCTCCCAAATCCCTTGACGGGGCTGTCGTATCACGAACTGGGTTTTCAGAACGTCCTTGTAGTCGAAGAACTCGGCCTTATCCACAGCCCGACGCCCTGCCTCGGTGCTCCCATACCTCACGTAATCCATCAAGCTTGTCCACCAACTCTGCTTCACTTCATGGATCGCCTTCATCGTTGTAGTTGTAGAGTGACGTAACTCAGGGAGCTGCTTAGCCTCCAAAAGGTCGATCAACTTCGTGGCAGTGGCCTCGGGGAGCTCCGGACAGCCTCTAACTATCCTCAGGGGAAGAACTTCACCGTCTCCTCCTACAAGTTCGCAACTCTTCTGGTTCCAGTGGAGGCGGTACCCTAGGGTGGAGATAACTCGTCCAAGGGGGACGATAACTTGTGCTAGGCCATCGTCGGAAAGCAACATGCCATCTGGTGTCTGTTTCATCTGGACACTGGATTCTCCCGCAAGTTGAACTTGGACGTCCCGAGCTTCTTCCCATTCGGTACGACTCCGGGGCCTTCTCAAAATGTGCGTAGCGCCCGAATCTAGAAGGGCATCCCGGGAACGGGGAGTTGTAGTAGGGGACGTTGAAGTGGTCCAGCTCCTGATGGCACTTAGGATGGGCTCCAGAATCTCCAAATTAAATTCCGCACCTCCTGTATGACTCGCAATACCTTCATCTGAACATCTCCAACACCCTCAAAGTTCACCTTCCTGACCGCGGCCTCCGTAGGTGAGGTAGTAGTTGATGTAGCACCTGTGTCAGGATTGGCCCGTCCAGCTCCTTTAGGAGTTGCTTGTCCACCTCCAGGAGCTCTGCACTCCTTCACCTTGTGTTGCACAGAACCGCAGCAAAGACACTTTCGCTGCCGCGCTCCCTTGTCTAACAGCGCCCATGTGTGAGGGAACCTGCACGAGTTACCCCGCCGACACCCTTTATCTGACGAAAAGAACTTGCACAAGCTGCCAGCATTCTTGGGTCCAGCCGGTGACGTAGGTGACGAGGTTTGCGGGGGAGTAGTAGTTGAAGTGATCCCTTCCGTTGCAGAAGTCACTGCCCTGATGGACGGGCCACCATCTGTCCTTGCACCACCAAGGCGAGCCTGCTGCTCCATCTCGGCCTGGAGATGCTGAACGAATGTAGACACCGACTGGGAGCTCGGGCAAACATCTACTTGAAGAGTGCTCCTGATCAAGCTCACCCGGAAGCTGAGCTCGCTATTGGCCTTCACGACACGGGAGGTGATGCGGTCCAAGCCCTGGATCAACACCGAAGCATCTGGTTCCGCTATACCGATCGAGCTCGCTCTTCTCCTCCACAGCGTCCACTTCCTCAACGCCTCCACTGCCTGTAGCGCTGTGTCACACTCCTCTGGCCGCTCTAGACGCTGTAGAACAAGGGCTTTCTCTTGAAGGTTCCCAGGTTGGTACACGGCATAGAGTTTGCACAACAACGCCAACGACGTCACACTCCCCATAGCTATAACTTCTTCTCGAACCGTAGATGGAACAGCAGAGAGCAACATAGCTGTAGCCCTTCTCTCCACTCTTGCCCACTCCATTCGCAATGGACCTGGTGACGACAAAGGCTTAAGCTGCAGACGCTCCAGCGGGGCCGCAGCACTGTACTTGGCGTACCACATTGAGGCATCCTGCAGCGTAGCTTCCCACCATGCGTAGCTCGTATCCGACAGGTCCTGCATAATCGGCTGGATATGCGTCAGCCAGTTTAACAGATCTATGCTTCCGGTAGCTGGCTGGTACTCTGGCAACCTGGGGAGTTCTGTTATACCGGGCTTCACCGTCTCGGGCCTGTCATTCTTTGACCCCTGCTGCTGCTGAAGAAGGGCCTCGATCCGTTTTGCCAAGGTGACTAAGAGCGGATCATCACGAGCTCCACCTGCTGCACCTGCGTAACTTGGCGGCATCGGGGAAGGTTGTGGTGGAAGCATGGTAGGTGATCTGAGCTGTTGTGGATCCCCTTCATCACGACCTCCCACTGTACGACTAAACAGCCCTTGAAAGAATGCCCTCGGACCCACTGGTGACTGTGACCTGATTCTACCCCCTGCGCTGGGGACATCTGAAGGACCAGGTAGAGGTAGATTAGGGGGAACTCCTGCGGGAACTCCATGACCAACACTCTCCTCAGGTACGCGCCTATGTGGTAGTGAATCAACATCACCGCCTGATACTCTTAGACCTCGATGTAGACGATCTTGCTGTGCCAAAGAAACCCTCATATCAGGACCAGGTAGAGGAAGATTAGGGGGAACTCCTGCGGGAACTCCATGACTGATACCCTCCTCAGACACACGTCGTTGTGGTTGTGAATCAACATCACCGCCTGATACTGTTAGGCCTCGGTGTAGACGATCTTGCTGTGCAGAAGTAACTATCATATCGGGACCAGGTAGAGGAAGATTAGGGGGAACTCCTGTGGGAACTCCAGGACCAACACCCTCATCAGCCCTCAGCCCCGGAGGGGGCTGCATCGAGCGCGGCTGTCCACTTGCCATCCGTAGCTCTTGCACTTCTAACTGGGCTCGTAGTCGTTGCGCTTCCAGCGCTGCAGCCTCCGTCCTATCCCGTTCCTGCTGTAGCCGTGCTGTCACGTCTGCCATGGCCACCTCCAGCTGCCTGGCCACTTCTGCTTGGACCATCTCCTGGGGCACACCAGCCGATCCGCTTGACGTAGATTCTGGCCTCCGCTCTCTTTCGCGAGCCGTAGGGGTAGCCACCATCATAGTCTGTGACTGCCCATGCCAAACTCCAGTAGCTCGATCTCCGCTGTTATGCGGGGATGACCACGATGTCACCTCCACTCGACGCTGAATATAATCTCCCAGCTTTGCAAACCAAGATTGTCCACGCTGAACATCTTGTCTATGAGCAACCGGAGACTGACCCGGAAGAGGTGAGGGAAGGAAGTTCGGAAAGAGGGGCGCATTGTCCGCGGACAGGCTCTGCAAACCAGCACCTTCCGCAGTCGTCGGACTGGCAGTGGGCATCATAGAAGTCGCAGGATCAACCACCTGCGGGAGCACTGTTCCAGAAACTGAAAGCTCACGTTGCTCCATAGGAGCTTCCACTGAGGTCACATCTGGCACTGCTTGCATTTCCAAAGGATACCCGCCTCCATGGGTACCACACGACCCTGGAGGCACACCATTTGGCAAGGTACTTGCAGCACGAGGTTCAATCTCATCTCCATCTTGGCGCAGTGGTGGCACCGAAGATGAAAGGCCATACGGTGGGCCTCTGTCTTCGCCTTCGAGTGCATTCAGCGTTGGGCTCATATCCTGCTGATGGAAAGAACCATGTGCAGCTTCTGCAGCACCAGCATGTGAGGCCATGGGAAGCAGCCGGCGCACGACACATGTAGTGCTGTGTCTGCTGTATCTTGATATGTCAGGTCGTCCTAGGGCTACCGTGCTTTGCACTAGTTAACAGCCTTCCAGAACGCCTGCAAATTCGGGCCATCAAGGCTCCGCATGCAGACATAGATCATGATCACCTGCACGCAGCTGTGATGCTTCATCAGTAGGGGTTGGGAAGTAGCGGTATAATGGTTTCGGGTTGAAGGTTACTGCAGGGGTCGTGCATTTTTAGCAGAAAAAAACCCGCAGAGGGCTAGGGTTTGGATGGAGACTGAAATTGAAGATGATTAGAATAGGGTTTTGGGGGGTACCTTTAAAGGGTTCCTAAACGGGAGACTATAAGGGCTACCTTAAGGGTTTCGGGGTGTAGGGGCCTGAATAATTGCAAGGCAGCAGGCTTCCCATGTAGGTCTTACTGTTTAGGGTTTACGGTCTTTTACTTTTACATGAGGCTGGGGGCTGAGGGTGTGTAACTACCAGGCCGAAGCCCTAAGCCTCACCTCAAGGCTTTATCAGGAGGGGCTGCTCTCTCTATCAGGGATCTCTAGGGGTTTAGGGCCGTTTAGGGGTTCAGGGTTTCTATGATTTTCTCAGTTCTGGTGACTTGCGAGGAGCTTCTGATGGAGTTGCGCATCCTTAAGGCAAGATGCTCAAGCTTTGAGCTTTGGGAGTTCAGGGTTTAGGGGTTTTAGGGTTGAGGCTTTGGGGTTTCGGGTTTTAGGGTCTAGGGCTTTGAGGGTACAGGTTATAGCCTGTAGGTTTTGGGGATGTCAGATTTTGTCGTATAGGATTTTCTCGGGGTGCGGGAGCTTCAGTCCCTGCGTTAACAAACAGACAGGGAGCCCCATCTTGTTGTCCTGAGAGTTCTGTCGTTCAGGATTTGGGCTTGGGACGCGGTAGCGAGTTCTGCATGCCAGCCTTACGAGGGTTTTGGGAGGTGTTGCCTCAGTCATACTCAGGAGCCCTATGTCTGTTGCCAATGCATTTGAAGACGTGCCACCCAAGGAGTGTTAGGATAGGATGACTCTTCGAATGCTAAACCTTGTACCTTAAACCCTTAATCCCGAAACCCAAGTCCAGGCCCTAAATCCAACCCCCAACTCTTTTCGTCCCAAATCCCAATCCCGAAACGCAGAAATTCCCAGACACCCATCATAGACCCCGCAAGCCCAGAAAGCAAACATAAACCCGCGAGAACCCTGAAGCACCCAAGGCTCAACCTGCTACCAAAGCCCTGATGAGCCCTAAACGCCAAAGCCCTGATATAAGCCCTCAGCCCTAAACCTTAGACCTAAACCCAAAGCTACCCTGAACCCCTAAGCTCCCCAAATCCCTGATTCGCCCTTAGAACCCCAGCTTCGGAACAGAAAGGGGAAGGGGAGTTGGTTCTAAATCGAAACCGCCCTTGGTTCTGGTTCAGGGTTTAGGGTTTATGGTGCGGGGTTTTGGGTTCAGGGCTTATCGTTGTTTGGGAATTTGGGGGTAGGGTCTGGGGTGCAGGATTTGGGGTTTTGGGTGCAGGGTTTGGGGTAAGTCGAGGTGGAGAAAGGAGCGCTCAAGGACGGCAAGCACGACCGACGAAAGGACTGCCAGCGGCCTGGATATTCAGGTTTGCAGGGAGTGTCTTAAGCCCTGGGGTTTGCAATCTAGCCTGGGGCCGCAGGAGTTAGACTTTGCGTACCTCTTCGTGGTCGACGTCACCCAGCTCCTTGTACAAGAAGAAAGTATCTTTCATGCGGTTTACAGGGGGTTTGGGGTTTAGGGTCGTCGGGTCTTAGGTGTTCGGGTTTCAACTGAAGCAGGGTTTACGGTGGGTTCATGCGTTTATAGGGATTCTGGAGTTCTAGGGTTCGAGTGCCAGTGTTAATACTTGTGCGGTTGAGGGCTACGGGTTTAGAATCTAGCCTTCGAGGACGAAGGCAAGGGTGTCCAGAACATGATACTTCCCTGTCAAAAGGTTGCTACCAGGCATGAGACTACTGTCGTAGATTTGCTAGCCCTTTAACCAGGGGCCCACTAATTAGTAGTAGTATCCTGCTAGAAGTTCCTTCCTTCCTTCCAAATTTACGACTTATGTTACGGTACTGTTAAAATAATGAAGACCCCAGATTGCGCAATTCTTGGCGTCGGCACTTGAGGGCCCCCAAGGTGCAAGCTCAGAGGCTCCAATGGACCTCGTGAAACTCCTTGCTTTATCGAGGTTTAGGGTTTAGGGTGTGGGGTTTAGTTTTTGGGGTTTTGCCTTGGTAAAGCCCCCGTACCAGCCGTTCAGGGCGCCCCTGGAATCCTGTGAGGCAAAAGTCGCTTCTCCTCGTCGCCGGCGGTCGGGAGCTGGCTTTGGAGACTCGGTTAGTAATGGCAACTTTCAATAGTATTCCCTATTCCCTGAAGTCCCAATCATAATCACAGTATACTCTACCCGGAAGCCTTATTCTAATGACTAAGGTATCGGTTGAGAGTTTGGCGGTTTCGGGCTTCTGGCCTGGAAGGGCTTTTAGTTTTGCAAGGGTATAGCAAGTGTGTGCAGGATTTTCGGGTTTGAATCTCACATATCGTCCGTGATTTGAGGGCTCCCCGCAGTTCTTGCATGACTTTAACGATTTAGTTTAGGGCTTCACGTGTAGAGTTTCGCGTCTCAGGGTTGGTTCGAGGGTCACGTTAGGATTTTGGGTTGAGGTTTAGGGTCGAGGGCTTAGTAGTCTCAGCCAGCATTAAAGCCGCCTCGAAAGCCAAAGATCCTACACATGCACTCTGACCCTTGCCCCAAACTCTCAAATCCCGGGCCCCAATCCCTGAAATGTATGAACCCCTTGAGCGTGAACGTAATAAACCCTCAACATCCCTAAACCGTAGTTCTATGCGAGGCGAAAGCTGCCTTCCCTGGCAAGGAGACGCGTGAGGCGTCTCCTTTGTAGGGATCTGGTGGGCTCGGGGCAGTCGGGTTGGGACCTGAGACTTCGTAGTGGGCGGGGGCCCCGTCTAGAGAAAAGGGGGCAAGACGTTTGACCCGAAACTTCAAGCTGGCGCCTGGGCCTCTAGGCTGGACGATCGAATAGCATTTAGCCTGCATCCGAGGTCGAGTTTGGTGTTTTTTTTGTTTTTCTGTTTCCCGCTTGCGCCTAGGGCCCAGAACTAGAATAACTAGAACACCGGGTGATCCTGGCGATTGGTATGCAAGCTTCCTTGTGGTAGAGGCTCGGTTGAGTAGTCGCTAGTAATTAGCAGCAAGAGATTTTGCTCCTGGAGCCCCTCAGTTTCGGACCTGGCAGCTGTCAAGCGATTGCCTTAGTGTCACCTGGCACGAACACGTCGAAGGTATTTGGGTTTCGTGCTCTTGTTGAGAGAGACCTGAGCCACATCCACTGCATCCGCTGTTATTCCGGGGCATCCTGGTTAAAATTGAATATCAAGATAAAAGGTACCCTATTGGGGGAACTTGGCAATGCAGAAGGCTCCAGACACCTCGGGAGCCCGCAGGAAAGCCAAGAGAAAGTTGCCAACACCAGCACCCATGGGGTTGTAGGGTGTTTGGGTTTCGGGATGCTGCCCATTACTTCATTCCATGAGGTTAGAAGTTAGCTATAGGCTGTTACAGGGTCCTTGAGGTCGTGCAAGAGGGTGTCCAGCACCGCTATCAAGCCGTGCTCCCTTGAGCATGCAACCCCCCAAAGCCGTCAGGCCCCGAAGCTGCACCTGGCCAGGCCAAGCCGGGAATCCGCGCCCCTGGCGCTACCATCAAAGCCCACGAGACGCTGATGGATGTGGGAGGCAGGGGGTCCCTGAACCCCGATGGTTCTAAAAATTGATCCCGAAGCCCTAAACCCTACATTCAGGGGCTTCGGGGGCCCCTGGGCCTCAAGCCCTAAGATCCTGATGCCCTTAGACCCTGAGCGGGAATCCCGGCTTCAGGTCCTGAGCTCTTTGAGGCTTTTCTTTCGCAGGCGGAGGCTTTGAAAGGAATGTCATTGTAGCTGGGACTCGGGGCAGACCCAACAAAGTGCCGAAGACTCCAAGGCTACCCATCTAAAGCCACAGAAACTACTCTGTGGGTGCCTGCTTGGGGTTCCTTCTAGTAAGGTTATTACGGATCCTTCTGTGTAGGGTCTAACATTGGGGTCCCATGTTGCCTTAGCCGCCCCCCTTCAATTCACAGTTTGGGCCAAGGCCTTCTTTCGCCCACACAATAAAGAGGCCTGTAGAGTTGTAGACTTAGTATCTAATTCGCAATGCACCCTTACAGTTCCCAAAAATCCAGAGCAGCCCCTCCAAATCAGTTTTCAATTAGATTCAGGCCTCTACAAGCGCCTTAGCCATTGTCTTACATCTTGGAGCTCTCACAGGGTTTAGGTTGAGGGATTTAGGGGTTTGGGATCCCCCAACCTCCAGCCTTAATCCCCACTGCCCGAACCAGTGAATCGCGACTAGGCATCGTGTCTCGAAAAGCGCAGTTCGTCCCGGCGTTCCTGTCGGCGCTCAACGATGGTGAGAGCCCCGCAAAGCTCTTGTGAAACCCTACCACCCCTAAAGGCTCAAGTCCTACATTCCCGAAGTATCCGAAGCCTGGCTGGTTTAGGGTTTAGGGTTTAGGGTTGTCCGAAGTTGTCCGGTGGCTCTCACCAGATCCAGGTCTCAAGACGTCACGAGCCTTGCATTCCAGGAGTCGTGGCTTCTTCGGGGTGATAGGACTGAACGGCTTCATTTGTTTTTTTCGGTTTCGGGTTTGGGGTTTCGGGTGATAGATTTTAGAGCAACGTATAGTTTTAGGACTTGGGTTTGGGTCTTTTTAGTTTTTGGATTTCGGTTTGCCTTAAGTTTTTAGGACTTAGTGCCCATGGCTGCGAATCCAAAGCAAATCTTGAGGCCTGGCTTGAACCTTGAGTCTTCAACTCTTCTGAATATCGGGTCCTGAATAACTTAGTAGCTGAGCAGGTAAACTTTGTCGCTGGGGACCGCTGAGACTGTTTGGGATCATGTGACCCTTTGTCTAAGAAGTGAGCAGCTAAGAGAACTAGTAGTCGTCCCCTGAAATACTTAAACGATGCAGCACCCCAGAACCCCAGCCTGTCTATGTTTTTCGAGCTCTACGCCGCTAAACCCCAAACCCCAAGCCCTCAACCCTAGCTTTGAACGACGCTTTGCTCTCCGAGCGCAAGATGTTCAGGGTTTAGGGTTGGGGATGCAGATCTCGGATTTCCTGAGTCCTGTTGCTGGAGGGCTTTAAAAGGCTCTCTTCTACATTCTTGATTGGCAACTTGGTTGGGTTTTCGGGGGCTTTCCAAGGGTTTGTCCTGAGGGGTTTCGCTCCCTAAGCCTAAGTGCGCACAGGTAAAGCCCAAAACCCCGGAAACCCAGAAGCCTCACTCAAAGTTCATATGGGGTAGGGGTCGCGGGTCCGGGGGGTGGGCGAAACCCGGAAAGTGCTCAAATCTTAAGACCCAGATGAAGCTTTGGCAGGAACCTTTACCAATACTATTTTGGGACTCCTGACTATACTTATAGTAACCTTTACCTCAAAACCCCAATCTGATTCGTAAGGCCCTTATATTAGCACGACTAAGACGCCATCGCACTCAGAAGCTCCGGCGAGGTTTCACCTGCCACAAGCAGCCCAACAGCACCATCCCGGAAGAGATCGCAGGATCCCTTGAGGAATACGTATTCCTTAGTTAGGGTGCTAGACTCAAGCCATACGAGAATTAACATCCACCAAAACCCTGTTCTAAGTCTCAAGACACCCTCTTTAGTGGGTGGGGTCGGCGGGTTGGGGTTTAGAGCTTTGGGTTTATGTAATGTTTAGGGTCTGGGGCTTGGGGTTTAAAGGCTGGGGTTTATTCAGGATAGGGGTCCTGAGGCACGGAAGTGAGTTTGGGAGGTGCATGTGGGCCAGTCCTAGAAACTTGGTTGTGTATACCTCTTGCGACCCTCCAAAGCACCATAAGACCCTAAACCCTAAACCCAACCCGAAACACAAACTTGTAAATCTCTCAGACGTTGGCCTTGAAGCTTTGGGTCTTAGTCTGTTTGATGCTTCGAGGCTGCCTTTGGGGTTTCAGAGATTTGGAGTTTCAGGGTGGAAGGTTTAGCATGATTTGGGGTTTAGGCTTTGAGGTTCTAGGGTTTCAGAGATTTGGGTTTCAGGGTCGCAGGGTTTAGGCTTTAGCATGGTTTGGGCAGGAACCCGGGAGGAGGACGAGGTGCAAGCGGCCATTGACGCTATGCAGAAGGACCGCTCTCTCCTGCGGATTGAGCACGGTGGCGGGGTGAGGGACCCCAACCCCAAGAAGTACCTCAAGATAATGTGCCCAATACCCTGAAGCCAGGGCCCCAGACCCCATGTAGTCCTATATGCACCATATGAACCTCTGTTACGACTCCAACAGATCTTACCGGTTCGACGGGTTTCTTCTGGTTTCGAGCCTACTAACAAAGCACTTTTCAGGTGCTGACGTTGTCGTTGTATTGTTCTTTGTAAATACACGGGTTTGTCAGATGCCTTGAGGTTAGTCTGTTTGAGTTAACACCCCAAACCCAAGATGGTTCTATCGGGCGTGGTGGGGTGCTACGAGGGTTTTGCACAATCGCTCACAATGTCTGCTTATAATCCCAATATGGCTGCGGTAGAGTATACATCCTCACTATTCAGCTGCGAAAAGGTTTTGAAGTTGACATGGGTTGCGCCACAGGCTCTTTACCCCCTGCCCTCAACCACGGATCTAGGCCTAAACCCGTCTTGAATCTGGGGGTTTGGGGGTTTAAGGTTGAGGGTTTAAAGGTGGCCGTCAGCCCAGGTCAAGCCCTAATTCTCATGTGCTACGAGTTTGACTTCAAGCCCCTGAGCTTGAGCCCATATACCCCTGACCTTGGACCCGAAACCCCAGGGCCTAAAACGAAGCTTCGCACCCGACCAGGAGAGCTACCACGACTCCGTGACCGTCGTCCGTGACTACACTCGCTACAGGTGTGTCGCACGGGTGCCACTTTAGGGTCTTAGGTCTTGTCCATCTGTTCGATTAAGCCTTTGGATGTTAAGGGGTACTGTGGCCTGTTTATCGGGTCTTTAAAGGCCTTGTACGGGTTTGGGTCTACGGACTTCCGGTCAGGCGGGTAGCCCGGTAGGGTTGGGTTCTGCTGGGCACTTGTTGGTGTCGTGCAGATTTGAGCGCATGAATTTGTCAGCTTGTGCGAAGGTCGGCTTCCACAACCTAAACCTTAAACCCTGCACCCTAAACCCTAGGGCCCCAAGTTTAGGTTTAGGGTCCCAGGGTTTAGTTCGAGTTTCAAATCAGAGCCATCCCGGGGTTCTGAAACCAGGCTCACCTGTAATTTTCTAGGAGGGATTTGGTTTGGGCTTGAGGGTTAAGGGGGGACCCCAGAATACTTTCGAGTTCATTTGGTCTTATGGACTTCTGAAGTCTGCAGATCCAAAGACACAGCGAAGGAATACCACAAGCTCCGAGAGTCCCGAGAGCCTTGAAGCCAACTCATAACATCCCATCAAAGCTCGCAAAGAAGCAGTTGCCACCCTAGATAAGAATCCTACAAGGCACCCATACAGTTAAAGACATCTTCCAAGGCTGGAGCCAGAAGCTACAGCCCGCAGTCTGAATCCTAGAGCCTGAACCGCCGAACCGGTAAGCCATGAATCCCTTTCGGGTTTAGGCTGTAGGGTTTCGGCCCGGGTTTAGGATTTAGGGCCAACACCCTACGGAACCCTTGTAACGCACCACAAAACCCTGCAAACAACCCTCATCTCCGAGAAGCCCTAACCCGACACACGGAAAGCTACATGAAACCCTGAGCTGGACCTGCAAAAGGAGTGCCCTCGATGGCGAGATCAAAGCCAATGAGCAGAATGGCCAATAAGTACCAGAAGCCCTGAATGGTTTCAGATATGGAGCGACTATCGGATGTAGACGGTTGTAGTGTTGCAAGATAAAGGTAGGGTGTTTTGGAGATTCCCGATTCCTCTCCTTCAACCTCCCCTTGCACATCAAGCACCTAAGGTTCTAATACCAGGACCTTGTCGAGCGAGAGAAGAAAAGGACAAACAACCTGAACCCCCGTATTTCAGCGCTCGCTGCGCGCTCGGACGAGGTCTTTGCAATGAGCAAGTGGGAAGGGAGAGGACTTAGCCCCATGCGGAATGGAGGTGGCCCCAAACCTAGAAACCCTAAATCTGGCTCAAGTCTGGCTCAAACCTAATGATCTAATGCTCCTGAGGTGAAACATGAGGTTTCCCCGATCCTGTTCAAAGTTTTGATTTCCGCATGCCGCCACCCTCCAAAGGCCACGCTAGCCTCCGGCGCGTCTGCACTTCTGGGTGAGGACTCCAAGGAGCAAGAGTTAGTTTGAAAATGATCGTGTTTATTGAAGTGGAACAGCGACACATGCGTTTGTGCAGGACCTCCCCCGTGCGCGGGTGATTCCTGTCAACCAGAAGGCAGAATACCTGAATCAAGACAGATGCGGATCTGTGGGGTGTTTCTTCCACCGCCTTTCTTTCTTGCTGCGCTTCTTCGGCGCGACGGTGGACTTCGTGAACTTGTGCGGGGGCAGAACTGTCGCCTTTCGTTAACGCCTCTCTGGAACTTGGTGCAGGTGCGATGACGAATTGGCCCGGCAAATGGTCTTGCTCCCGACTCCTACATGGCTGTGGAGCATGTGCGAGACAGCACCTTGTATGATGAACGATCTCGCAACCCTGCCTTCAGCTGGGTCGCAGAGGTTTCGAGCACTTACACACGTTCCTGGCATCAACCTACAACCCTTGATCTAAGCTGTGCGCAAAATTTTCGGTCAAACTTGTGGTCCGCTGGAAAGGGTTCCATGTCTGACTTTATGTGAGTCAAAATATTCGCCCTGCCACGTTCAGAAGCCAAACATGCTCTGCGGCTAAGCTATTCGCGCTTGCCCTGTGCGGGCGGTCCAGGCATCGTGTCGGTCCACGGCCGACTGTCAAGGTGGAGCCGGCAGTGCAACCTCCCCTGCCGTCAAGAATGCGTTGCAAGATGCAGAGTATGAAAGACCTACTTGATGAGGACGCCGGTATGCAAAGCATGTGCGAGTCTGTCCTGCGGCACGCGACAGAAGTTCACCGCCACTTGAAGAGCATTCCTGACGCTATAGAGCAAATCACAAATGCATGCGAGTGTGCAAACGGGCACGTATGCAAAGCCATCGGTCTTTGGAGCGGTGAGCTCTGAGCTGCATGCAAGCCGGGTGGCTACAGCGCTCCTGCAGATAGTTGCGTGCTGGATTTTTTCGCCGGCATGCTGGCCGGCAGGCAGCAGGTTTCTTTACAGCTAAACTGTGGTTCGGCACATGCCCGCGGTGTAGAGCGTAAATGCGAGTTCGTGCAGGTCCGCTCACAAAGGAGGAGTGGAAGTTAGCATTGTAGCCAATGGTAGCATATTGCTCAGGACTGCTGTGCAGGGTCGCCTCAATGCGTTGGTATTCTAATAAGGGGCTTGGTATCGGCGACCCACGAGCCATGCTTGGATGGAGGAGGACAGTACAATGTTTTCTGCTACTTATCATTCTCTTCATTTTGAAGATGATGTGGGCCCGGCACGGAGCTCTTCAAGGCGGAGGACATGGCGGCAGAGATGGTTTCACTCCCTGGTACAGAGTATACGATAGCAAGGGTTACCAGCAGAATCGGGACTAGCGCCATCCAATCTGACCGGTGTTCATCAGAATACTGGGATCCTAAGCAAGCCAAGATATTTATAGGACCTCCGTATGGAACCCGCAAAAACAGAAAGCGCTACGATGCCTTCCGGTCTGAGTTTGAGATGTACACGCGGCGTGATTTTATGCCTGCAGTTCAGCCTTTCCCGGGCCGTCCGTGACAGTGTCAAGCACATCGCCAAGATGGCTTATGGAAAGATGTCTTCGAAGCTGACTTTTGAGCAGATTACCGCACTTCCATACCGCACTGCCGCCGTGGAAGTGTGAATTCCAGGTCACGTGCAGTTGACCCCATCGAGTTCAACGGAAGCAGCAAAACTTACAACCCAAAGCTCTCCACTTTGTAGTCGTGGGTTGCTTTTGCAACCTAGACCCCAACCCCAAAAAAACATACCTAAGAGACGTACGCCGACGACGTGGACGAGGAGGAGACCGTCAGCTGTGTAGACCAGGCCAGCCATGAAGGTTCTCAATTTGCAAAAGACGCTGGGTGCCATCGCACGGGCCAAGACAAAGTCCTGACAAATTCACGCCCCAGGCAGCCCCATGCACCCTTGCTTAAATATTGCTCACAACGAGGGTAAAGGTTTAGTCAGGGGTCCCTTGGGCAATGCCAAGTGTTCCATCCCACGCAGATGCGGTAGCGCCAACGACATCAGGAAAGCAAAGTTGGCTGCCATGCGGCAATGCGTGCTTGCAATGATAATAACAAAAGAAACAAGCCAGACGACTGGCAGAAATCTTTGAAGTTGTTCGATGGTCCTCATTCTAAGAGGTCCACTCTTTGGGCCGCCGATCTCCGTTTGGCAGTTCAGCTGAGAGAAAAATGGGGCGAGGTCTCGATCCATGGAGCGAGTCGAGTGAATGACCATATGGACTTGAACTACGAAGTGCAGGCTATGTTGCACAGCAGTGCGAGAGCTGCGATGGTAATATTGAAGTTTCTGGTCATGCTTGGGCTTGGGTTTCTCGTCGTCGTGGTGTGATTATCATGCCCTGCCGTGATCTGTCGTGGTTGACTCTTTTTTTTTGATGTGGTGACAATTTTCTTGTTATGGTGTGGATTCCTTTTTGTTGTCGTGGTAGCGACGAGCTCTCGTCCCAGTTGCCTCGAGATTCCATGGGCCACATTTTGCTGCCGCTGCACGACATAGTGTGAGTTTCAGTTGACGTAGTGTTGAAGCTACTTGCGCCTCCGCTGCCCAGATTGTACCAGGTCGTTCGGATGAAAGACCCGTTGTGTTGCAAGACTGGGCAATCGCTTCACGGGCCTCTGCTCAGCCCGGGGCTCAAAGCGCAGAGCCAACTAGGTTGGATCACTTCAGAGGCGAGCTCTCGCAAATTTCCAGGAGGCCGGCGCCCCTGCTTGCGTGGCCCGGTGGGGATTCATATAGCCTGAAGAGGCAGAGCTGGACAGTGCTTGGTGCACTTTCTGCTATGCGCTTCAACAACCTCCATTTCCCCGACGATGCCTGGTCGGAAAATCGGGGGGGGGGGGGGGGGGG